TAATCTGTTTAGACCTACAGACACCCTTATTCTTTAATCAAATGGCAGGAAATCGTTTATAGTTTATATGGATTTGTTTAAATAAACTGAAGCAGTTATTAGGAACAAACCTTGTGATCTCTTCTGTTTCACACTCAGGTAAACGTAAACCGGCTTCTTGATTTATCTTAGTGTGTGTTTATGTTTGTTGTTTTTAATTTACTGACTAATCTTTGTTCTTCCCTGCTCATGTTTAGCCAGTGTTTTAGCTGTTCTGCGTTTGAGGCGTCACTGGATTAGCTTTTGTTGAAGATTTTGTGGTTTAGCCAACCTGCCTGCCTATTTATGATTCCTTCACGTCTGAACAATGGCTGTGAGCCTACGAAGCATAGATGATGCACTACTGAGCAACAGTTTCTTTCCTTAAAAACATAAAACCTCACTTTCAGTATTTTGTTTAACTTGTGGAGCATCATACTTTACTTTGGGCAAACTTTGGCTACTTCTTATATGAACACAGAAATTTTCTAGCACAAGTGAATGGACCACTTGATTTAAACAACATAATTCTACATTATAACGTGGCAAAAAATGATCAGGGAAATAATAAATGGATAAAGAAAATAAAGCACAAATAAAAATGTATCTATCTTGTTTAAAACCTAAAGCCCAGACAGGTGCAAGTCTTGTGTTATAGTTGTTCTTAAACCATATCCTGCACCTCCAGCTGCAGACTTGGCTGATTTGTTATACCTCATATTTGCTGTATATACTCTGTATTTCACACGGGAGTCATTGGGAATCATCATTTTCTGCTGTGCTGGTGTGAGAACAGTACAGAAAGTCCCTCAGGTCTGTGCTTTCTTTTCTCGGTCGTAAAATATTCCAGTAGGTATTATGAAGGACAAAGCCTTATGCTGCAGGACATCTTTGTTGTCTTCACGCTGATCTCTTAGAAAGATGTAGACGCATTCCCCGAGGTCATTTGTTCCTTGAAAATATTCACGTTCAAAAAAGGATGGCTCTTCACAGTGTTGGGTTTGTATTCTTGGAAAACAGAAAATAGTTCCGGCTTCCTGGTATTACATCTGACTCTGACTAAATTTGACTTTTTTGTCAATGCTACCTTAACACCTGCTGAGCCTGTGACAATGGCACACGGTGTTGTGATATAGTTGTGTTTATAGGACATGACTGGAATATAAATGCTGGGAAAAAAAAGAAATCCCTGCATGTGGACTCATTACCTTAACTGAGGGATGGGACGAATGCTGCAATAACTGAAAGATGAGAAATTTAATATTTAACACAAGCAGATGTCCTGTTCTCTTGTCCTTTTCCAGCAAACAAAGGCAGACTTTTTTATTTGCAAATGCTAATTAGTGAGATTAAAGAAATAAGAAGTAAAACAACAGACATAAGAAACCATCACATCATTTTCAATTTAAAAAAATGTTATCCAAAACAACAGAAGTACCACAGGGCTAATGTTAGATAGCAGATAAATGTTTCCTCGTGTGAAAGCTGACACACTGAGTGACATCAGAGCGTCTCTGTGAAAGTGAAATTGGCACAGGTTTCCTGTTCAGAGCTCAGGCTTCAAAAACAGTTCTGACGTACTGAGCGAGAGGGCTGAAGTGTTCTATGTTTGACTTGTAGAAGCATCAAAAGAACAGCTGTGGGGCTGAACTGGCGTTCACAAATTCGACCATTTAAATGTGAGTCACGACCTGTTACTCACCTCTGCATCCTCACTGGGCTCGCAGGGACAGAGTCAGGTGCTCCATGGGCTTCCGTGAGCTAACGGGGTTCATTGACCAAACATGGGAGGCTGTGGATGCATTAGGACTGCTAAAGTGCCTTTAAAAATAATCCCAACCAAATCATTTTTCTGTCTTTGTTGTTTGGGAACATTTTATTAAACGGTCATTATTACACACATATTTTTTATATAATGTGTTCAAAATGATTTGTATTTCATTTTTAAAAAAGAAAAACAGTCCCTCAAATCTTATGCTAAGAAATGAGTTGTGGCCATTTTTGTCAAATTTTGAAAAAAAATGGTGATGAAAAAATCTTGAGCTGTTACACATTCAGCTACAAAACATCACATTTTAGCCTAATGTAATAATGTAAAATGTACTGAATTATAGCCATTTTGTCTTTTCTAAGATCAGTCAGGTATATTAAAACTCTTGAATCAGGTTGATTTAAAAGGTTCCCATTTAAATTCAAGCTTCTTGTAGGTGTACATTCACTATTTTCTGTTAGTTTGGTTCATGAGATTTTACTCCAAATAGCTGATGACAATGTTTTAAACGTAAAAAAAATCTTGCACATTCTGTTAGAGCCAGAATAAGCTGTTGGATCTGTTCAGCTGCTAAAACTTTGGAATTTAGCCCAATATCTCTGAAGCTGACTACATTATCTCCCTTTTTTGTGTATTATAAGTTGAATTGGCTGTGGTGGCCTTCTTGAATTGTGTAGGAGTTAACTGGTTGCAGATACATCCAGTGTTTAATTTGGTGAGTTTCTTTCAAATTTGCTCATTGGTTTATGAGACATTTGTAACGGACACACAAACACGAGTCCAATCATCTGTCCGTCTTCACCTTTCAGAGACAGAACACATCACAGCCTGTAGACTCGATTGCTCTTTAGAGTGTGTTCACCTAAGAAATGACCAAATATGCAGCTTTGATCTTCACTAAACACATCTGGAGGAACTCTTCTTCTTTGACTCTGTAATTCCACCTCCCAGTCAACGATGAGACCCCGTATTAATTAAAAAATTTCTGGCTACCAGCATTATGAACTGTTGACCGTTTAACTGTTACGGAGGCTCGTCAGATAAAGCAACGCTGATTTGGGATTTACAAAAGGTTTAGCTTGTAGGTTCAACTCATTTTCAGCAAATTATCTGAAAGGTAATGAATTCAAATTTAGCCGGTGAGACTGGTCATAGCTTCAATTTAGATAGGGATCGTTTCATTTCATTGCAACTACCTGAGCTTTCCTGGAAGTACAAATGAATTTGCCAAAACCCTCAAAGGAATATTTGCGCACTTTTTTAAATGCTTAGCTTCATTTAATGAATTTATAAAGTCAATTCTGTCTGTTGACAAAATATCTCGTGAACCATTGGACCGATGTTAATGAAACTCTCATAAAACAATTATTGGGTGTGCAGTATGTCTACAAGTGATTAACCTTTGGAGTCAGTCCACTTCAAAATGGCATCTTCAGCTAATCATTATCCAACCCATAAATTAAACTCAATTCAGTTCAGCTTGTTAATATAGAAAAAAAACTAAAATAAAAAAGCTATCTAAAGAAGCCAGCAGATTGTGTTGAATCACTTTTTTCACTCTCTCATCCTGAGCAGCACATTGGTGACTGTGGAGAGGAAAAACTTCCTCTTAGCAGGAAGAAACCTCCAGCAGAACCAGGCTGAGGACAGGCGACCATCTGCCTCGACTGGGTTTGAGGGGACGGGAAAGAGATACAGAGAAACACGGAACTGGCCCAGGTGTACTTTCTTCTGGAAGAGAGACAAAGCAAAAGACAGGTGGCGAAAGGCAGGCCTGATAACATATTGAAGGTGGGTGATAAAAGACATATCCTGCTCAAAAATAACACCAAGGTTCTTTACATTAGAACTGAAGGTCATATTAATGCCATCCAGAGGAAGTGAAAGGCTGCAAAGTTTATTCCTAAGATGTTCACATCCAAAAACCACAACCTCTCTCTTATCTGTAGAAGCAGAAAATTAAGTCATCCAGGTTTTGAGTTTAAGACATGCTTATAATTTAAGTAACTGGTTGAATTAATCAGATTTCATGGATGAATATAATTGAGTATTGTCAGTACAACAATGAAAATTTATCCCATGCTGTTTAATAATTATTCAGTGAAGCCTATATAAAGTAAAGAGAATTGGGCCAAGCACTGAACCCTGAGGAACTCCATGACTTACTCTGGTAAAGGAAGAAGGTTCATCAATAACATTTACAAACTGAAAACTATCGATTAAATATGACTTAAACTAAAATGTGTATGACTTAGTGATATTTACAAAAACTGCATTCAAATTCAGTTTAAATTCAATAACAGCTGAAGTCATTAACAACACATACTTAGAGTGTGACGCCGGCCTCACATAATGTTTTTTGACAAACTGGGCTACAGCTTTGTAATTTCTTAACATAACGTGATCTTAGTCTAAAACAGTGGTTCCCAAAGTTGGGTTGGAACCCAAAATGGGGTCCCAAAACATCAAGGTGGGGTCCTGAAAATATTTTCTGACTTGATTATATTAGAAAATAACAACTAACAATATTTTTTGCCTTTTTTGTTACAAAAGAGTGTGGCTAGTGCACTTAAAATGGACAAAAATAGCATAATAAATATTGTTACTATGATCTTTTTTTTTTTTGACGTGAAAACAATGTTTATGATCTAACAACATTTGGTGACTCAGGTCTCTGCTGCTGGTATTTTGAAGGTCAAGGCTGAAATGTTTGAGAACCACTTGTCTAAAACAATGACATAAACAGAGATGGACATTATTCCTTTAAGTAATCCAAGGCTTTCAGTTGAAAAAATGTTGCTCCCTCGGCGTTGTTTAGAAAAGAAACTGTGTTTTTTTAACATAAAGTCACCTAATATTATGACACAAAACAAAGCAAAAGCTTTGGTATTTTGGTTGTTTGTTACTGCATTATCAAGGTCTGGATCCTTGTACAAACCAAGGTGCTGAAGTCTCTTTATCTATTGGTTGTTTTATTTCAGCAGTAATTGCAGTGATTCTTTAGAGCAGCAACCCAAGGCACTGATTGATGTCAGAAATTACATCGAGGAAGGAAGCAAATCTGCCCCGCCTGCTGCATCCATCCACCCAGCAAAACATTTTCTAACTTGTTGTTGGCTGTTTAGGCTGAGCCCAGGGACGTATCAGTCATAATCACAGTGCCTGTTGATTGAGTGCAGGTGTCATTCGAGTAATGATGAGTGAAAGCATGTACAGAGCTAAAAAGATTTATTTCCTGCATGAATTTCCTTGACATAATCAATGTAAAATATAGGTTTTCTTCCTCATAAGCAAATAGTAAGAAAGTGTAGAAAAGAGCACAATTTAAAATGTAATTTTGGAAAATGCAGAGAAAAAAATGCATTAATCTGTACATCTGTATCCATATTGCTGCAGAGTTGGAAGAAAAGAAAATCTGAACATTAATTGATTTATTATAGTATTCTGTGCAGGACGTAAACACTACGTACTCCTCCAAGGTGCACACTGTTGCTACAACAAACTCAATTTTCTGTCCAGACACCTGGAGGTCGGAAGACTTAAAGCGTGCATTATGAAGATATCATTATTGCTACTGAGTAATGCAAAGACCAGGTACACAACTCCCTTTCAGCATACAAAAAAATCTCATTCTATGAATAAGAAAACAGCTTCCAGCCTTCCTCCACCTCCCTCTCTGGTGCAGAAAACAAACCCAAGTCTTTAGTTTTGACTGCAACTGCCAGTTGTAGGAATATTGCAGTCCAAATATGACTTGTTATTGCCTAAATTATGTGGTGACAGCAGGTGATTGCTGATACGGATACAGTTATTGTTCACGATGGCTTCTGAATTTTGTTCAAAATGCCTCACTAGACCAGCTGTGTCATCTGTAAATTTGACAGCAGGGACATCATTTCCTTCCTTTTTTAATGGTTTCAAATCTGCCATATTCTCCTTTCTTGTCTTTAGCTGATATGTTTATATGTTCATGTCTGCTTATTTTTTTAAATCATTTAAACAAATTCATGCAAAATGTGTTTTTAGGTTACAATAAAACCTAACTGAAATTAGATGAAAAGGTCTGGTGAATGTTGTTTTTTATATCCTTCATTAAGAACTAAGTAGCCTATTTCTTGAGTAGAAAAACCTTCATATAATTCATTTGGCAGCCTACGTGTTCAGTTTGGCTACAGTGTACCTTCAATAGATAGATTATCAAAGTGATCCATTCTTCTTCTCAGTGCAATAAATATAACAAATATAATCTGTATCCAAAATATAAATGTGGGTAACTTAAAGTAGATTTGGACAAAACCCTTTCCTCTTTTCTTTCTTTCTTACTTTTTTTTACACACAACTCCACATTTTCCACAAAATTCCAACAAAAGGCAAAAACTGCATTTGACAGACGTTCTTTTAAGGGAGTTTTGGTCACAGCAGTCTTTAAAGTGTTAGCGTCGTGCTGAAAGGCTGTCCATTTGAATATGGTCCCTTTGGAGTCCTGGGTTGTTGTAGGCTGCTCCACCGAAGTTCAAGTCCAAAGGCTCACAGTTGTCTAATCTGAGAACTGAAAATGAGAAAGTCACAGTTAAATTAATGCTACAAGCTTATTGTGGGCATGTCTTTGCAAAAATAAAAAAATAAAAATAAAAAACATAATATATATATACA